CTTTTCTCTTTCCTTCTAGTTGTAGAATTTCCACTCAGCCAGCCTTCCTGTGGTTCTGGGTGATGTCCGTTCTGTCTTTTAGTTGTATTTTTGAAGTGGTTGTACGAGGCAGCAATCTCTGGTGTTTACCTATGCCGCCATCTTGGTTTCTCCTGTTTTTTAGTTTTAAAAAGTTTTAATTTCAGACCATCCTTTGTGGTTATGAAACAAGAATTTTAGGGGAATATAAGCAGGCTTAGGGAATTTTTAGAATTGGGGTCCATGGAAAAACACAGGGCTACAGATTGGGAGAAGGTACATCTCCATAACCCAAGGAAAGCAGGTGCAGGGAGCAGCAACAGTTGCATTTACATAAGACAAGGGAGCTGGAAGTAGCCAAAAAGGTCTATACTGTATCTATACTAATAAAAGGGTAATATGCTAATTAGACCAGAAGATCTTCCAGGCGACCTTCCAGACGTCCTTCCAGACAAAGCCATGGTGGCGTATCTAAGGCAGAGGTGGTTAGGGGCAATCAGGCCAGGAGGGGAGGGCAGTTGTGGGGGATCAGGCTGGCAGGGGGGGGTCTGTTGAGGGCAAGCAGGCCGGCAGGGCGGGGTCAGTTGAAGGATCGGGCCTAAACCGGCAGTTGGACATCCCCTGAGGGGTCCCAGGTTGGAGAGGTGCAGGTCAGGCTGAGGGACACCCCCCTCCCCTATGCACGAATTTCATGCACCAGGCCACTAGTTTACAAAATAAAGGAGGAAGAAAGCCCAGAAAGAAAAGAACAATGAGGGAGGAGGGCATCACATGTCCTATGTGGTGTTTGACCTTTGAGTTCAGGAGTGGCTATAGTGACCAATCAGAGGGGATATCAGGACACAGGGACTTGCAGCCTTTATAAACCATGAAAACAGGAAGTCAGTGGGACCCTTTCCCCCTCGCCACGTGGGAGTCCATTCTGTGGGACACTTTCCCTCTCCCCACATGGGAGTCTTTACTTCTTCTTCAATAAATTTCGACCTTTGCTATACCACCTCTGCCCGTGGATTCTTTCTTCGACACTGGCCAACAAAGAATCCGGGTTCCAGTCCAAAATTCCATTTCAGTTACTTTATGTCTCTGAGTTTGCAAGGTTACCTGTCAGGTTAGCATGTGGCCCCTTTGCCTCCACAAGAGAGAGAAACCTGGGTGACAGAGAAACATCCATTGGCTGCCTCCTGCTGGCCCCCTACCAGGGACAGAACTGCAACTTGGGCCTGTGTCTGGGGAAACAAACAGGGGCAACCTCTTGGTGCATGGAGGAGCTCTACCCCTGAGCAACAGTGACCAGGGCTGAACTCATTTTTTAAAAATATATTTTTATTGATTTCAGAGAGAAAGGGAGAGGGAGAGAGAAAGAGAGAAACATCAATGATGAGAGAATCATTGATCGGCTGCCTCTTGCATGCCCCACACTGGGGATCCAGCCTGCAACCAGGGCCTGTGCCCTGACCGGGAATCAAATCATGACCTCCTGGTTCATAGGTCGACACTCAACCACTGAGCCATGCCAACGTGTGTGAACTCATTTTTTAATGCTTGCGGATTTGTGGATAAGAATAGTTGCTAATAAGGTCCCTTATATGTAAGCAGTTACTCCCCCACCCCCCATTCGTTCTCTTATTTTATGCTCAAACCCGGGATAGGGTGAAGCAAAGGTATTTTTATTATAATTTGTCCTTGGTATTGTATACCCATTTCGAGGTGATGGAGTAGCCCCAAGCAGGACTTGAACCTCCACCATACACCACTCGCTGCTCTTCCCTCCATCTTCGCTTCATGATGGCGGCGGCGGGACCCAGCGCCCAGTTTGTCCACAACCCGCCGCCGTAGCCCGCCCGCCCCGCTGCGTGCGGCTCCCTCCGGCCGAGGTGCAGCGCCGCAGTGGGCGGGGTCTCGTGCTCCGCCCACTGTGCGTCAGTGCGTCAGTCCGGCCCGGGAGCTCCGGAACGGCCGGTGAGCTCACAGCCGGCTTCTCTTCAGCTTCAGCCCGCACGCCGCCATCGCCGTTATGCTGGGTGCCGCTCTCCGCCGCTGCGCTGTAGCAGCGGCCGCAGCCTCCCGAGCCAGCTCTCGAGGCCTCCTGCACCCCGCACCGGCCCCCGGCCCCGCCGTGGGTAAGGTCCGCTCCTTCGCCCGTGTGTCCTTGCCCTGACCTGGGCCCCCGC